TATATATATATATATATTTGATGTAAATGAAAAGTGTTGGTCCATATTAATTAATCCGTACAGTTAAAAAATATCCTAGAAACACACAAATTTAAATGTTAATTTAATTAATAGCAATATATCAGCCTTAAAAGATATTTAAGTTTTAAAAGGCGATTTAACTTCTCCGGAGAGAGAGAGAGAGAGATATATATATATACAATACATTCGCCCAGAGGCGAACGTTGCACCAGTTGATTCGACGCAGGCACAGTAAAAGTTACGAGACGCCGTATATATTCACGCTTTTGTTCCCGAGAGTAAGGACCGACGACCTCGATGGGATTTCCAATTCAGAAAAGTCGTTCCGGGATCCGATGAATGAAAACGGTCCGTCTGTTTACCTCGGCTATCGGCACCAAGGGATGGCGCCAGCCAGTATTTCGCCCCATTCAGAAGGGATGCGGAGAAGGGTGCTCCGGACCGGCGTGAGAGCGGAGAAGAGGAATGGACACGAGCAACCTGTTGCTTTCATCGTACGTCAGGATATATCCACGTCCCTCTCTCTCCTCCGACTCCGCTGCGACGTGGGATTCGGCACCCAGCACCCGCACGCAACATGTTGCAATCCCCGAACCTACGACTACGGTAAAATATTCGCGAGCAACGTATTATCGCGAGCATTGACATTTCGAGAGTCGAGAGCCGCGTCGTCGCGTACGTAGGAGGACAATTTATTGTCGTGCAAGCGCGGAAAACCGAGAGAGAGAGAGAGAGCTTCGTCGTGCTTGCGTGAATCGGGAAGGCGAGAGATAATTGATGAGTACGCCGGTAGTCGCGTTCTTCGCTCGGCGTTGACAATTTTTATAAGAGACAATAGAATAGTTGAATACGAATAGCGTGATGAAAATGTGATGACAGTAATACAATAGATATAATAAGAATATAAGAGACGTAATGAAAGAGAGAGGAGAGAACATAAATCTCACATGATTATATCATACGCGATAATGTACGCATTAATGGCAATGAATCATGAAATTCTTGAATAAACAATAGCTTTGTGAATTAGAATATATTTCAAATATACTACGCGAAACCAGAGCCGTCGAAGCTATTATATCTAATGTAAGAATGTTTAAGTCGCAGTACCTATAAATAAAAGCAAATATTTTTTGTATGTAAATTTTTTATATAAATCTTACTTAGAATTTCTCTATCGTTCAGTTCTTAAGAGTTGTGAAGCGCATTCGTGGAGTTAAGTACATTTCCAGAATCAATTACGAGAATCTCGGAAACTAGGCTCAGCAACAAGCGTCTTCTTCGTCAGTGGAACTCTGTCTGTGCTCGAGATTCTCGAGAAACGAGACCGACGCATTTCGATCGATCGTCGGCCGAAGGCAGCACGACGACGGACGTCCAAAGCGAGCAGCACAGAGAAAAAAAGCGAGAGAGAGAGAGAGAGAGAGAGAGAGAAACAGAGAGCCTAGCGCCAAAATAAATCAATAAAATAGCGCACCAAGTCAGGCACGTAGGCGCATACACGTGCATACAACGTATGCATGTACGATCTATACGTATTGGAGAAGCGTGGCGAGGCGAGGCGAAGCGAGACGATGCGCGGAGAGCCACGGGTACGGCGCGACGGTTGGAGAGAGAGAGAGAGAGAGAGAGAGAGAGAGGCCGAAGCAGGCGAACGAGCTAGCGCGAGCGAGGTCGAGACACGCGGCAGCTGTCTGGCGCCAGGGGTCCCCCTTTTCCCTCAAACAGTCGCGCCGAATGCCACCCACCTTAGCCGACCGACCTATCGTGCCATTCTCAAACCTGCCTGCATCCCGGGAGCCGGCTTTTCCCTTCTCTTTCCTTCCTACCCGCGTTCCTGCACGGCCTTCTTCTTCCCCTCGTCCTGCGGCAGATGCAACAGCCTGCGTCCGACGACGTACGGCACCGTTTGATGGATCGACGATGGATCCATCGGCCGTATTCCGCGAAGTTGAAATTTTTCACCCCGACCGGTTATTATTAATTGATAAAGAAATTATTAAAACCACTATTAACGAATTACGCTTAGAATAATAGTGAAAAATATCTGTATTTTTTTGTATGGGGTAAATTCATTTATATTTTCTACCTTTACACACAAAATTTATTGTTATTAATTTTTCAAATGCTTTTTTATTACAATATTATAATTTAGTCGCATTTCTAGATTGTGTGAATGAAATTATAATACATTTTAGAAAGCACGTTTGAGACGAATAATAATAGAAAGTCTCGTATGTGTGTCTGGACAATGTACTGGGACCTTATGTAACATCTAAATTGTAATTAATCGCAATTTATCGCTGAATTGATATGAAGAGGAATAAATGAAGCATCCCGAGAGTTGAAAAAGCCTTCTGAAAAGATTCGATGGTCGCGGCGCGTCAGTTGGGAAACGCTCGATCGAATCCTGATATTTCTGTTCTCTCCCGGAAGCAGCGCGTTCTATCTATAACTGACTCAAATAAAAAGGCAACCACGCGCGTGTTTATGATTCCATGTCATCCCTTTCGGTGCTCCACACTTCGCGTATTATATTGCAGCGCTCAACATCCCGCGAATATACGCGACATATTTGCTAAGCCGACGAAAGTGCAATCCCGTCAAGATGATTCTTGCTGTGACGACAGGCCGAACGAACAGGACGACGTGCATTTTTTTTATACTATAAAATCTCTCTTTGCTATACTATAAAATCTCAGAAATTTCAAATCCGCCCGAGAAGTACTAGCATATTTTTGTATTCAATGGATATATAATTTTAGTGTTTTATTTAGAATTTTTTATTTTTGCCTCGTGCAAAAAATTAAGACACTCTATAAATAAATATCAGAAATTAAAGAAAGATTTGTGAAAGAGAGAAAAAGTTAAAACTAAATAACTTAATAGTTATTTAGTGATTTAAAGAATTTTCATATGCATCTCAAACGTAATTTAAAGGAATTAAAAAAAAATCACAAAAAATTTGTTTTCAAAGTTTACACTCTTATATATAATAATATAAACGACGTTCTCTTAATCTGGAATTCCTGGAGTAAATTGCGTTCTGCACGATTACTCTGATTAAATGCGTGAACATACGCATCGTTTCTTATTCAATCTTGTAAAATCGCAAGATGCGCCGGACACAGATGCAATTTGTTGTCGACTTGGGAATGTTTCACGTCGTTAGAGCAGTAGCGTTTGCATTGGCGAAGGCAGTAAAAGTACGTAAAAAGACTTTGACACACGAGGGAAAAACTCGCCGCAACGTGTCTCGCGAATATTATAATTAATTCGTTTCTCTTCACCGGTACGGGAATTTGCGATTAATCCAGAGAATAAACAAAGTCGTCGTTCGCTTATATAAAGATTTAATTCCCCTACAGATCAAATTGCATCTCATAGAACGTAATCTAAAAAAAAAAATCAGCCTATAATTGATATAAATATTCTTTTAAAATAAACTCAAAAAATATAAATAAATAAATAAATACGTACAGACGTACATTAATCGTTACAGGTTTTTATGTGTAATTGTTTATCTTTCATTCTCGTAAATTCTTTTCTCATCGCTAATACCCACAATTCGCACTTTCGTCTACAGCTCGAAAAAAAAATGTGTATACTCAGCCCCGATGGCGCAACGACACAGAAAATTATTGAACGACGTTGCGGAGAAACGAGAGTAATCGTCGTACGAGTCGAGACGACGAGAGAGCAGAGCGCGTTCACTTTCCTGCTTCTGGCTGGGGCCAAAAGCGTTTCAGGCGTTCCACGAAGCAACAACGCTCCGAGAGCGGCCCGAGAGCGGTCCGAAAAACGACGAGTCCACGATCCGTGCGGTGCGTCATGCGTGAAAAGCTACGTGCGCGTCAGCCCGGAGGAACGTGAGCTGAGGAAATTTCTTCGGTCGACGCCGGTCGACATTGTAAAACGTTGTCTTGTTTCTTTCGAGAGAAAATCTTGGGAAGCGACAAGTCATTATCTTTCATACAGGCATATTGTAAATCAAAGAGAACCATGATTTTTATACGTACTCTCTACAGAGCCCCGAAGAGTGAAATCTCTTATAGAATGAAAATTCAGCCATCCTTTATTAAAGGCTGCGCCACAATTTTCACTCCTCAGACCGAAATTTCATTCTAAAGAATTTAGAGAATATAGAATGCGAGTGATTCTTTTTGTAGAAGGTGTGAAAGGTGGGGAAAGGGAGAAGTTAATTTATTCAAATCCTTAGTGCATGTAAAACACTGTATGTGTTGGAAAATGTAAAATTACATTGAATCGCGATTATTCTCTTGCAACCTGCCTGTAATTCGAAGGAGAATTGAAGCTCGCTTAAAATTAAACCCGCTCTTATTTCTTTCAGATAGGGAAGAAGTGCACGAGAAAAGAAAACCGATCGTGGCGCCGATCAAGGTTAACCACGTAGACGTAGGTGTAGTCATCGATCAGTGGCGTAGTCGGTATCTCGGGAATCAATGGGAATGGGTTTGAATGGGTTTGAACGATTGTTCAAAGATAAAAAGAGGGCAAAAAATTGGATACGACACGGCGAGAAACG